ATGGATCCTCGACGCACGGTATTCATTGGTGGCGTTCCACGTCCCACAAGAGCTGGTTAGAGACTTCGCGAACACATGCTTGCTCCACACGTTTTGAAATTCAGGAGAATTAGCCGAATGTCTTGAACGCCTCTATGGCCCTGTGTGTTACGTTGGGATAGACATCGATCCTGAACTGAAATATCCGAAAGGGGCTGCTCGTGTCACTTTCGTCACAACACAAGCTTTTATTGCCGCAATTAATGGACGCTTTGTTCACGTTCATCATGGGGAATCGCAGAAAAGAGTAGGCATTCTCATACTTTTACTATTGAGCTGATTTTGTTGTCAAGTTTAGGTTGAGATCAAGCCGTACGTGATGGATGAACAGATGTGTGATCATTGTGAGGGGAAGCAGTGTTCTTCGCGCTACGCTCCTTACTTCTGCGGCGATGTTGACTGTCTTCAGGTGGAACGAATATTCTAAACTTTGCAACTTCACTAGCAGACAGATTATCCCTACAGCAAAACTTACCACTATCCAAAATTACATTTCAGTACTACTGCGAAAATTGCTGGGATCGTGTCCATTATCACACCGGCTCGAGGCGTTCTGAACATCGTCCTCTAGTGCGCATGGGAGATCAGACTAAGGTAAATCGTAGAATAATAACAAGTAACCGTCACAGTGATACTATGAAGGTCCTTGCTCGTCCTCCTCATCATAGTAGCCGCACTTCAAGGAACTTTTGCGGCTCTACTCAGGCACGTCACTACACATCGTACACATCGCTCAGTGTCTAAGTGCGAAAGAGGCCTCAGTCGGGTAATTTTCCTGGCAATGCTAAATGCCACTGGCCCGGTATATGCCTTGACCATCTTTGCAAATGTTACATACAAACTCCCCTTTCATAATCCTTACCATTTGCTCCAATGATGCTCACTTACAGGGCTCTCTATGATGCAAATTTGTGAAAACCATTTTAGTAATTTATACACCCTACTCACCCTTTTTAGTTTATCAGATTTTTCAAGTTATCGATGGCTTTCCTACAGTAACTTTTGCTAGTCGATGATAACTTATTTTTATCCTTTCAAGTTGTTTTTTCATTCGATGAAGTTTTATGAGACCACTGCCGTACTTCGTAGGCATATTTCTTCCGGTGCTTTTCAGTATCCGAGCCCCAAAGTTTCAAAGTGGTAGATTTACATGTCTACAGGAGTTACTCGACTATAAAGATTTTTCTTTCTGCTCAATGCCATCATTTTGTGTGATTACGGTGGATGTGGATGTATGGAGGGTTAAAATCACGAATTAGCTGATTGGTTCCATGAATTTCTATTTACGATGTTCTTGGGTTACTGTAACTCCACAGCAAATCGTTACTGCAGCGAGTATCATATTCGTTCAGCACTTTTGATATCCTCGCCTGCGAAAACCCTACCGTATGCCTACTGTAACCCCCTGACGCGTTACAAAAAGTCAAGTTAGGGATTTTCATCCCTACTTAGAGCCTGAGAATATAGTACTTGTGATTAGCATGTCAATGACTCCCCTAAACCAAATTAGCCAAACCGTCAATCAGCTCTCTACCGTATACCTACCGTAACCCCGCGAAATCCTCATCATGCGCAAAGAGTAATGCATCCGTGATCAGCATGCGAATGATCCCTCCAAACATTGCAAGCAAAATCCACGACTTTGATGTTTTAGCCCAGATACTTGAATAGCGCCAATTTATTTTTATTTGTTTCATTGTGCTGCAGCCAGTAGAAGGCTGGTAATTCACCTCAAGCATTGTGGCACTATTACCTCAAGGGATGTGCAAATAAAGTGTTTTTGTGGCATGGTGTCTTGATGCTACAATATTTATTAAACTCTTTTCTTTTAACTGCTAATTTTTGTGGTAGGAATGATCGACATACGACTAGCTTCCGCTTGAGCTGGAAGCAAGCAATTAAATGATTACAGGACTACAACATAGATGCAAAGCTTTGAATCATGATTCCTAGGAATAAATTACTACATATGGCAAAAAGTCGCTATCCGGGATTCAATGAGTATCCTTCTATAAGTCATGTTATTACTACAGCTATAGTGTCAATTCGAGAAAGCGCCGAAGGAAGAAAAGTCGGCAAATCCACCTGGTACGTTTGTAGATTCAGCAGCAAATGGATCCCTGTAAAGAATTTATTTGTGGCTATCAAAGAGACCCTCATCAATTACAAGTTTTCGCCAATTATTTCAAACACACGTATCACTGAAGTTTGAACACGATTTTCTGAAAAACTATGTGGTTTGCGCGGTGTCAAAGATGGATAAAAATAGAAACACCAGAACTGGCAATGATAATTTGTTCTGAAC